GCCGGCACCCCCCCCCCCCCCCCCCCCCCGCCAGCAACACCACAAAGGACAACAATGGATGATGAGTTAAATGTTTCAGGATAGATATCGCATGCATAAGGGGGTGGATTTGTGCGCGTCCGACTGCTAAACGCACAAGGAAGAGGGTTAGCCGTTACATAACACCAGAGTCCACGTACACAGCCTCAACAAAAAAAAACACACACACGCACACTCAAGATTGTTGCGACAGCGCTCACATGCATGCGTGCATCTTAACATCGGTGTCTTCATTCAATTAAAAGACGTCCTGACCTCAGAAAACGGAATCGAATAACCATAGAACCGTTTCACACAGCGGGACGCATCAGCTGTGGACCCACCACCCCCCAACCCAGCAGCTCTCACATCCAGGCACACAAACACAGCTCGTCAACCAAAACCCCCCAACAGCCAATACGGCCTTTGAGAAAACCCAAGAAAAAAGCGGCACGATTAACAACAACAACAACATCAACAGAGAGCGGACCACGTCTCGCTCAATACGGCCTTTGAGAGACCCAAGAACCCAGCGGCAGGTTTAACAACAGCAACAACAACAGAGAGCGGACCACATCTCGCTCACCTCACGCTGACCTCCTCAACCGCAACAACAACAGACAGCGGACCACGTCTTCTCGCTCACCTCACGCTGACCTCCTCCGCCAGCTGCTCCACAAGCGACGCGAGAGCGTCTCGTACCGCCGAGCACAGGCGGGGGAACTGAAGAGCCAGGGTCTCCACCAACAAGGAGGCCACCGTGAGAGCGGCGTTGGCGGCCTGGGACCGGCAGGACTCCACGGCAGGCCGCCAGGTCTCCACGTTCTGGATCATGAAACCGTAAAACACCTGAAACGGAACACACACGCGCGAAAAGGGTTGTAGGGTTAGGGCCGCCAGGTCTCCATTTTCTGGATCATGAAACCGTAAAACACCTGAAACGGAACATACACATGCGAAAGGGTTGTACAACACCTGAAACGGAACACACACACGCGAAAAGAGAGAGAGTGACAATACTCGCAACAAACAGATTGCGGGAAAAGTAGATGGCGACACAGACATAGTGAGCGATACAGCATCTACACACGTACGTGACGTGCAGGTAGTCTTGTAGCGCCTCCCAACGTGGTTTCGGCGACAAGCAAAGACTAACCCTTGGGCCAGCGGTGCAGAGAAGTCCACTACCACCACTACCAGCTATATCGCCACATGACCGATGCCCAGTGGTGTACGAAACCCAGAGCATCTTCACGACCCACAGACCCAAAGCGGTGCTTTCATGCCCAGCCGTGTGTATTAATGATAGTCCTAACAAAACTTCGTCTGTGAACACCCCTGCTCCGTCGTGATTCGCACACACAAACCATACCCCGCAACAAAAAATAGATCAAACAACAATCACGCCCCCCCCCCCTTCTTCTCCCCCCTTTTAAAACAAAAATCTAATATTAACCCTTTCAAACCCTCCC